CTAACCAAAAGCATGCAAACAAAACCCTAACCAAAAGCAAACAAACAAAACCCTAACCAAAAGCACGCAAACAAACCCTAACCAAAAGCATGCAAACAAAACCCTAACCAAAAGCAAACCAACAAAACCCTAACCAAAGGCAAACAAAAAAAACAAGATGGAGCCCACGAACCCGAATGCAGACACGATCGAAAAGCTACAAATGACACTCTTGTAGGACATTCTTGTGGGACACTCTTGTGGGTCACTCTTGTAGGAAACTCTTGTGGAACACTCTAACGGGACACTCTTGTGGGACACTCTTGTGGGAAAGTGTTCTGGGACACTCTTGTGACTTGTGGATGACGCGAGACGCATCGGGGCCATACGATCTCTGCTAGGAATGACCTCAGGGTGACTGAGCTTGAGGTCAGTAAGTCGAACTCGACCTATGGGAAGACGACAATGCAGCCAGTGCCAGTACTTATGCTAACTGCTTCCCATCCACCGAGCTGATTCATCTACATATGTGACATGGAGACTGTGCTGGAGCATTTGCAAATCTCGGTCGCTTGGTCGCCAGTCACACAGGGTGTCAGCTTCAGCATGGACAAGATAGTAGTGATGTCTATTAGTGTCTGACGTGGCCAGCAGGGCGGCCAGGACCCGCTGGGGCATGGCTATGGCGCCAAGTCGGGCAGTGATTTGACCTTTCGGCCAGAGACAGCGAATTGCTAAGGCAATCACTGCTCCTGTATAACTACCTGCACTAAAGCCTTCAACGACAAAATGTTCGGGAGAGGGTTGCGCTGCCGTACGCAGGTGGCCAAGCATCGGGAGGGTGGCCACCAGTTGCATTGGCTGTATTGACAACAGTTTCCACCAAAGTCCGCTGAGGAAGGCTTTGTGCGGCAGCCGCCTGTGAGCCGGGAGCAGCCGGGCGGCAGACAGCACAATTTGAGTACGCCGGTACAATATGGCTGCTTTGCCAACTCCGAGGAGCTCCCACCTTTCGCAGGGATCCTGCGTGTGAGAAAAAGGGTCGCGATCTCATGGATTCCTGTGGTATAGCCAGCAGCGACCCCTGTCCTTTTTTCCCCTACGACATCGGCTGGCGAGAGTGATGGCCCGTAGACCTGGCTATCGCTAACAGGGGGACAGGTGCAGTGGAAGTGCGGAGGGATAGGACCGTCAAGGGTACCCCTCCAAGCTCCCCACAGTTAATCTGCAGAGGTATTGGCGCTGGCAGGGCATCGTAGCCTATCCAATATTGATTCCGTTCAGCTACTGCCCACAGGAGTGTGTTCCATGACCACTCTGTTTGTTGTTGGTAATAGATGGCATCCAGGACGTCCTGTGCAATGTTTTCAAGCGGCATTACTTGGTTTTTCCAGCGCTGGAACAGAGCCTCATTGGCTTGGAGAAAGAGCTCTTTTTCCCCC